TATAGGATATGCATGCCCAGGGAATCCGGAAGCTTGTGACCACTCTGCCTCATTCACTCATGCCTTCATTCATGCCTACACTCACCCATTCATTCACTCACTCATCCAATCATCTATTTAACTAATGAGGCATCTAAATTCCACTGACTCTATGGCCCTTAACAAACCTCTTGTGCGAAGACAAAAAGAAAACCTCACACCCCTTGTAGCACAGGCACGAAGACTGCCATCAGGAGACTCATGCAAGCTTTCCAAAGGAAATTATTTTTTCAGTCTGGGTTTTGATGGAGAAAGAAATGGTTGGGGCTGGAGAGAGGCCTCGAGTTGGACAACTGCTTGCCACAGAAGCATGAGGACCTGAGTTTGGATACCCAACAGTCACACAAAAAAAAAGGCTGCCTTTGGCAGTAACAGATATGGGGGTGGAGTGGAAACAGGAAGCTTCCTGGGGCTTAGTGGCAACCTAGTCTTGCTCAATCAGGAGGCTCCAAAGGGCCTAGAGAGGTGAGGAATCTTACAGAAGACCTGGGTTCTATGACCACAAGGCAACTCACAACCATCTTGTAACTCCAGTTCCAGGGGATCAGACATCCACTTTCAGCCTCTGCAGGCTCCCAGCAGGTACATGGTGCACAGGCACACATGAAGGCAAAACAGCCAAACACATAAGAAATAAATAAGTTTAATTAAAAAAAATGTACCGAGAAATAGAGCATGTCACCTGCCCTTGACCTATGGCCTCCATATTCACGTGCATGACACCTGTACACATGCATGTACCAACTTACATTGGCTTATACTACAGACACATATGGGTTGTGGGGGGGGGGGGGGGGGGGGGGAGGAGTGAGGATGGCTAGGCCAAAGAGGCTTGGGGGTATAGCAGGCAGGTGTAAGTCATCTAATTGTGTTCAAATAGAAAAGTATGTGTGAGTCCTGCCCCAGCCTGAAAGAACGGGGTCAGAACTCTGACCTTGAATGCCTGACACCATGGGCCAAGCTGAGGAGAGCCAATGTGCTCCATCTGGGAAACATGATGATCTTCAAAAAGCTTTCTGGGCTGAGCTCACCTCATAGGCAACAGAGCATCATGGTGGACAATTTCATCTTCAAATGCAGGGATGTCTGAAGCAGGTGTGACTCAAGCCCAGGTCTGAATAAGAGGATTGTTTGCAGTAGTTTCTGTGTGTGTACACACATTTCCATACACCCACGTAGACAGAGCTCATGTCCATAATACTATATTAATATCTGCAGCTAGAGAGATTGTACAAAGCATTCACGGACACCAGAAACCCCACACACAGAGGCATCTGAATAATGTGCATGTCTGGACGGACCCCTGGGGACATGTTCAGATGGAGATGGGTTACTGAGAGAGGCTGTCCGTGCCGGACAACCATCTGTCCTGCATGACTTAGATTGCCATTTGCCTGCAAAGAAGGGACTGAAAGAAGGCTAGACAAGATAAATTCCAAAGGTGCCTAATAGCTCTGGTCATTTGCATTGATAAGTTCTCTGCTTCTAGCAGGTTTTCCACTTTCAAGAAAAAAAAAAAATTCTTGCCCCTGATCAAATGATTTCTCTGGGCTTTTCCCCCTCAAGCAGAAAACATTTCATTGATTTCCTTTTCAGCTACCAATGATTTGTGTTAGAGGGGAGACTGAGGAGTTGGGAACCACAGATCCTCTTCTCCAGCTACTTTATCTCCCCTTTGGCTGTGTGACCTTGGACAACAGACTTCACCTCTCTGGGCTTCAGTCTCCCAAATGATACATGAGAGGAAGACCCAGGGTTCTGCAGTTCTTCTCCAGCTTTTGTCTATGAAACCATCCCCTACCCAACACCCAAGACCGAGTTGAGCTTCATGAACTCTGAGAAGAGGACTCAATAAATTGAATTCTGATGATCTGTTTTCTAATGACAGACCCCACTTCATTTCACACGCACAAAACCAAACCAAACACCCAAACCTTGCATGATTTAAATGATAGGGACTGATGCTGGATGCTCTGGTTTGAATTATGCTTTGTTTTCTATTTGGGGAAATTTTAGATGGGCCCAGTCTGGGATCACTGGCTAAGAACAATGAGCCCCCAAAGTCAGAAGCAGAAAGGCCTCTCCAGACAGGAGCTGCTTTTAAAGCACCAAGCCCAGGGTTTACAAAGAGCATTGATTGTATACATTAAAGAGCCACAGGAACATGGAGGGGTTGGCAGGCTGACTCACTGACCTTGCCTGCATTTCAGGGGTCAGGCTTTTCCTCAGGAGGTGTTCGCTTACAGGCTTTAGCAAGCTTAGGAACCAACATCTCCAAATCTGGGGAGCCAGCCAGCATCTCCTCTCTGATGTGTGTGGCCCAGCCACTAGCCCTGGGAGGCAAACGTACCTGCACACCTCACCCACCACAAGACTGCCTGAAGCTCCAAGGCCTGCTGAGTACAACTGTCTGCCCATCTGCAGAAGTCTTTCAGCCATCAGCTCCCAGGCACAGGGAGTAGCTGTTGTCCTAGCTCTTTGCATACCCCAGTGAAGGCAGAGGATCCTTTGAGCTTCCCAGGTGACAAAGAGCAATCCTAGTGAATCATGCAAAGATACCTGTTCCAAATACAGATTACAGGACACAGGTCTCCCTGAATGAGAATCTAGTAGCCCTGAGGACAGGTTCTGTGCGCTAGGCATCTCAGAAAATCTGGCCCACAGGAGCCATACACCCGCCCCCCAACTTAAAAATCATGTCAGGGAGAATGATGCTAAGATTCTGTCTCAGCTAAATCACAAGCCTGGCTCATTGTTCAGGCAGCTACCACTTGGCCACTCCTCCTTCCCCAAGTCTGGGCCACTGGTCCACCTGATTAACTCACCCGCAGCAACTCCCAGGCAGAAGTGGAGCAAAAGAGAGCACAGTGATAAGAGAGTCACACATGCACTGGCCCAAAGCACCCACTCTGAGCCCCACCCCCACACTCAGTTGCCCCCTGGTTGCGGATGTGGCCTTTGGGCACTAGAGGAACGGACAGCCTACTGTAATCATGCATGAATGAGCTTTTGCTGCTCCACTATCACTGCAGCCCGCAGCCGGTTTCAAAGGGCAGTCAGTCAGTCCTCAGCCTGCCTCTCTGAATCCTCCACCTTTCTGGACCAAAAGATAAGGAAAGGGCCAAGGATTCAAGGTGTGGGCGGAAAAGTGGCTCTGAGCCTAAGGAAAAAGTATCACTTCAATCAGACAGGTAGCTACCTTTTAAAAATGTCTGTAGAGAAAGAGGTAACTGCAGGAAAAGCTTCCGAGACACAGGTAAATGGCCTCGAGATTAAGCATCATCAATCTAACAATGTGTTCAGGAAGATCACTCAACTTCCACCTATACTGACAGTCGGTGACATGAGCCACCATCCCTTCAGTCTCACCTACCCTACTGGCAACAAGCATATGCATTTGCTCTTTATTTTATTTTTAGTTCAGGAGAGGAAGAAACTAGTCGTACTGAGATTGGTGTCCAATCTTTCTCAGATCCCTGCTGCTGCCACCATCACCACCCCTCCTTACCCCCTTCCTGGCAGGCAGCATCTAATTAAAATGGCAAGAACGCTGGGCTCCCTTCCCCGAAGGAGTGTGCTGGGATTAGGGGTGGGGGTGGGGAAGCGTCGAAGCTGCAATGGGGTTCCTGGCAGTATGATCTCCAAACAACAGCAAAATGGATTCTAGATCACTAAAGTCTTATTCAATACAATGGAACGACGTCTGAGGTGTCTCGGAAGAAGGTAAAGGCAAAGCGGCAGAGTTGGGGGAAGGGAAGGTGTTCTACAAAGGACTGGTCACAGACCCTGGAACCACACACACACACACACACACACACACACACACACACACACACACACACACACACAGCACACACAGTCTCTCCAGGGAGTTCCGGTGTGGTAGGGAGAAGCTGCTAAAGCGTCCCTTTCACCTGCTGAAGTTCAGCCATAAAACTGAAAGGTCACAGTCACCGAGTTAGAAAGGCATAGGCAGGGCTGAGTTCAAACCGCAGATAAAGGTGAGTGCACCCTGGCGTCGAGGGAAGCGCTGAGCCTGAGCCCCCGCACCAGAGGCAGAACCCGGGAGGGGTCAGTTGCCATCTACTAGACCAGCCCGGAACAGCAATTACTGCCCCCTTGGAGCGACAGGGTCGGCTGGTGGAGACAGCTAGACTCACGATGGCATCTTGCAGGTAGCTGGCAAACCTGAGAGGCCAGTGCCTTTATTCTTGAGGAAATTCTTTTTGCAGCAAAGAGCAGTCGGGTCTCGAGCCTTGGCAAGAGACAGTTGCTCGGGTACACACACACACACACACACACACACACACACACACACACACACACACACACACACACACACAAAACATAAACACCGCACCACACACACACACACACACACACACACACACACACTCCTTCCATGTAATTCTCTTACACCAATCGAAGATGAAACTGACATAAGCTCCACCGGCTTCCCTGCGGAGCCTCGGGAAGCACAGTCGAGGAGCACAAGGGCAGCCCAGCCCCTGCTGTAGGGTAGGGGCTCAGCCTAGAACCCCATCCGCTGCCCTGGAATCAGGATAGGAAGACCGGGAACGTTCCCTCGCCCAGCCCCAGACCATTGAAAAGAAAGGGGGGAAAACAAACAAACAAACAAACACACACACACACACACACACACACACAC